CGCTCCTCGGAGCAGCGCGGTGGCTGAGCGTGGAGGAGAGGTGCGGGGGCCGCTGCCTGCGGGAGTACCTCGGCTCTCCGGCGCTCCCCCGCCAGGTGCTGCGGGCACCGGTTTCTGCTCCGTTTACTTGTCTTCTAAGAAACCGTAGAAACTATATGCTTAATTTGTTTGATGCCAAATGCTTTGTCCTCTGAGGGCGGTTCACAAGTCCTCGGGCGTCCTAAATCTCAGGTTTTCCTTCGTGGTAAAAGTACGCCGAACGCTTGGTCGCTGGAGAGTCGCCCTCACCCGGTAGGCTGGTCTGTCCCAGAACTCGGCTGCGGTTTCAGTGCTGCTCGAGTTCTTCCCAGAGTGCAACTGCACCCGACGACAACTTAGTACTGTGAGCTGACTTGCCTGGGGACTGGCGTCAGAGCCCCCCCGCGGCCTTCCCAAGTGCGCCCAAAGGGCTTCCGTTAAGTCTGTGTCGTCGCCGTGCCCTCTAGTTCACGGAGCCGCTGGCGTGCAGTGAAGTTAGTAAAGCCCAGCTTCTCCTCGCCCCGTCCGGGCAGGAGGCTGCTTGCTGTGTGTCGCTCCGGCTCTCTCCTACGAGAGGTCAAGGGACCAACCTGCAACGCTGTATGTGACAGCAAAATCTTCAGGAGCCCCCGCAGCTCTTTAGGGGTCAATTTCTTGTGGAAGTAAACGTACGGAGGGCGTTTAAACCGCGTCCCCTGACGGTGATTTTGGAGCAGCCCAGGGTGGCGGATTGGTCCCCCCCCAAGACTTCTCTCCCGGCAGCGGGGCTGAGAGCTTGGCGCTTCCCTAGCGCTGCTGCCCGGGGGCTCGCTTCGGCGCGAAGCGTGACCCCTCGCTTGGGATCAGATTTGTCGGGCTCGGAGCCGGAGGTCAGGCAGAGAGCTTCCCTTAATCCCAGCTTGCGAGAAAGCACTTGTGGAAATAAATACAGTCGTTCTCGTCGAGGTCCGGGGAGGGCGTGTGAAATGCAGCCAGCGGTTTCCATGGAGATGCCTTGTCTTTGGCAGTGGTCGGGGGCCAGTCCTCGGAATTGCTCTTTGAGGTGATTCTCGAGCGCTAGGAGGGCTGCGGGTGAGGAGTGTAAAGTCTTCTCTGGAGTGGGAGGGTCCTGGGACTTCCTTCCCTCTGTTTGGTTCACTGTGTTCGTTTCTAGCTGTCCTGGAATCTCTGCGTACGCTTGTAAATAACAGCTTGCTTTTTTTTTTTTTAACTTGATTTTGCGTGGTGGTGGTTTTTTTTTTCCAAGGGAGGGTAAATAACTGTCAGCCTGCCGGTAACAGGGTTGGATGCAGCGTTGCCGTCTGCGGTTACCTCTGCCAAACGAACCGTGCTTCGCTAAGGTCTTCCGCCGAGTCCCTTGCTAACTATCCAGGCTACAGGGGGGAACCCGCTGCGCCCCAGCTGCGCTGACGGTCCCGCCTGTATCTACGGGGTAGTGGGTTAAGCGTCACCGCGTGCTCTGGGGACAGACACTCTTCCCTCGCCGCTGGCAAGCGCGTAAACCGTGGACCCCTGCCCGCAGCCGGTGACTGAGGCCGGGAGAGGAACGGGGAGCCGGGCGCCGTCTGTAGGTCCCCGGGGGGCGGGGGGCGGGGGGGTTCTCTT